ACAGCTGAGCCGGGGTGCTTACTGCTACTACCACTACTACTACTACTACTACTACTACTACTACTACCGCTACCACTACCACTACTACTGTTGCTACTGCTACTGCTACTACTACTACTACTACTACTATTACTACTACTACTACTACTACTACTACTACTACTACTACTGCTACTACTACTACTACTACTACTACTTCTTCTTCCAGACGCGGCGAAATATGGCAGGGGCTTCCCCCCGGCGCTATGCGCAATCCTGGCTCTTGAGGATTCCCTAGCCAGTGCCCCGGCCCGAAGGCCCCGTAAGCGAGGACCGGCTCTCAACTTGACTAGTGAAAAAGTTGGACCTTCCACTTGGTGAATGTAGATAGTTGTGATGTAGGGACTGTACAGGAAAACATATCACCCTCGCACATTGCACACAGGTGGGGCTTAGGGCATTAACAGGAATTGCGGCAGGCCAACTGTTGCTCTTATGAGCAGTCTGGTGCACACCTCAGGTACAGGAACAGATAATTGTTGTTTTGGGCTGCGGCTAGATCTGCAGGGCGACAGCGGCTGGCAGGCTTGTTGTCATCTGTATATAGTGCATAGTGCTCCTCAGGATGGTACAGGATGCTACGGTAGTGTCCTTCCGTACATTGTTGACCTAAGTGCACGACTGCAGCAAGACGACGGTAGGTGACAAAACGCTGTTCCAGTGCAAACCCTGTGCGCAGGTCATGTTCAAAGGCCGGCAGGATTAGGGTCGGGTTGGGTTCAAGGCGTTGGGAAGCTTTACCTAAGGAACCCTCGCCTAGGCTGAAACGATTGACCTGCAGGCACAGCGCTGTAGGAGCGGTCACAAGGCCAAGCAGTCCAGCTTGATGATGCCAGCTGTCAACTAGGTGCTGCAGTTCGAAAACCGGTTCATTGGCCCCATGTCTGGACACTGCTGAATCATCAGGCTGGGCGCGAAGCAGGTGCAAAGGCTCATCTAGGAACAAAGGCCACGTGTGGCCCGAGTCTGCAACGACAGCTGGTTCGGCACCGTTGGGTCGCCTATTTTCCCAAGAACCCTGCGCTATGGAGCCTAGCTTACACCTTAGGTAGCCTAGATATTCTGCAACATCATGCTGCTGGTGCGGTTGCCGCCAGCCGCCATGCATGGACAGCCAGGCAAGGTGCTGCCAGAGCACTACAGGCTCTGCTTTCTTGCGGAGCCATTGCCAAATGCCCCACAAGGGAGGGCCAAGAAGCTCACTGCAGCTCTGTCCTGGGACAAAGGTGGTGGCCCACAGGAGTGCATGCAGCACAGCGTGCGAATAGCAATGATGGCTTCGGTTCACGAGACGTAAGGCCCTGACGGTTCGGCGATCATTTTCTGAAGGGTCGTCGCGAGGGCACTGCGGCCCATCTTCTCGCCCCTCATGCCCATGACGACTGTGCGGCGTAGGCCGCTGTGGCAGATCCTCTGGAGGTGCGCCCAGGCAAGCTGTGCTTCTTTCGTGCGCATGCCCAGCTCCAACATCATTGGCAGCACAGCTCCACCGTGGTCTTTGACCGTCTTGCGGGTGGAATGAAATCGTTGCACCGTCAATGGCAACAGGATCAACAACTGGAGCTCCTTGAGGATGGTCACGGCTTGCTCCAGAGGCAGCGGGTCCCGGTCGGGGCGAACGCGGAGGGTCTGCGACTCCCGATCCCATCCTAGGTATGGGATGTTGTTGTCCCCGTCCAAGATGAGCATGTCCCGGGCCTGCTTGATCGTGATTGTTGGCCTTCGCCTCCTTCCACACCTCCGACACTCGCACGAGCTCCGGGATGATGCTCAGAACTCCGCCCGTTTGCAAAAATAGCATGTACCCGCTCTCCGTTCTGTTGATTGAGAGCTGGTCTTCGTGGCGGAGGACAAGGCGTGTCAGCCCCACACAGAGCTCGCGAAGCTCCCTCTCCGAAAGCTTCGGCGTCGGCTCTCGCTGGTTCCTGCCCTGGGACCGCTGCTGCCTGTCGTGGCGATCGTCCCGGCGGTCGTCGCGCCGATTGTCCCGGCGATCTCTGCCGCGATCCCTGTCGCGGCCCCAGCGGTCCTCCCTGTCCCACCAGCTGCTTCGCCACTCCCGGTCCCGGTGCTGGCGCCTGTCGTCCCTCCGGTCGTCCTTCCGGCTTTGGCTTGGACGCCCACTTCCAGAGCCCGGGGAAACTTGTTGGTGCCCTTGCCTCTGACATCCTCCGGCTCGGTCGGCGGCCGGGACATGACGCAACCACGAGGCTACTTCTGTCTCTTGCGCAGATGCCAAAGGAGCCTGAGGGGCCAGAAGTGGGCCCAATGAGGCCGGCGCAGATTCGGATTCAGCTTCATCTGGCTTGGGGGCTGCTGCAGAACAGGGCAAAACCGTGGACTGTCTGCAGGGGTATTCACTTCCGGGGCCTCAATTGCCTCAGTGGCCTCAGTTGCTTGCGCAGCCTCCGGCTGCGACGGCTGGTTGTTTTGTACGCCAGCAACGTGCAAGACACTGCATCTCCGGTGCTCAAAGTGCTGCAGAAACCACGGCCATGCGCTGAACTCCCAAAGACAGAAGCGGCAGGTGGGCATACCATGCAGTGCATACTCTGAGGCATTGTTGGCTACGTGGCGGGGGGCGTGGTGCTTCCGCGTCGGCCGTTGTTGTCTTACTGGCGTCCTGCTTATGCTTCTGGGTACAGTGTTTGCACGTGCTGGTGACCGAATCAAAGTACAGTCCGCAAACAGGGCACGCACCAGGGACAGCAGCTTCGCTAGATGGGACAAGTCTGGCCTCCGCGTTGGAGGGTGGGGACCTAGTAAGGCGCTGCTGGCTTTCTTCAACGTAGCGCAACAATCGCTGAAGTCGTCCCTGAGTGCTCACAGTTTGTACGCTAATGCCAGGCGATGCCAGGCGCTTCTGCAATCTATTCTTTGCGCGCTCCAGTAGGACATGCAGGGGTTCATTCAAGCCAAGTCTGTTTAGGAGACACGTTGGGGCTTCCCTAGTAATGAAAGAGGGGGCCTTGTCTAGTATGCGAAGCTGCCTAAGAACGTGCTTGCGAAATCGCAACTGGTCCGTAGCATCTAACTGCACGCAGTCAAGGCCGTGCAAAAGACTAGCCAGGGGGCAGGATTCCAGAGTCGAAGTTTCTGCGCACGCTGGAGCCCTTTGGAACGAAAGATAGGGAGGAGCCTGCTGAAGTGCTTGATGCGGCCCATCAAAGTGCAGTGCTCGAATCTGCCATACGTCAGTTGAACTCCTAGATAGGTGTGCTGTGCGACAATGGGCAGTCTGACCTCCCCATGGCTGCAGGGAACCCGAAAGACTCGTCCCTTTTTGTCATCATGACAGGTCACCTGTCGCAGGAGACCTTGCACTTGCGCACCGCGTAAGCCGAGGATTAATGAGCCATTGTATGAGGAGATCGTCAGCGTAGGCCGTGATGCATGCAAGTGGGACTTTTTCGGAAAGTCGCTGAAGAATCAGGCAGGTGAACAAAGTCCACAGCGATGGCGCTAGGCCACATCCCTGTCTCACTCCGTTGGAGGTGCCAATGCTGTGGGTGTGTTCGCCATGTCGGAATTGCATGCGGGCCGAGGCATGTGTGCGCATAATGGCCCAGACAGTGGGGGCATCTATGCCTGCTTGTTGGAGCGACTGCTGGAGTTTATCCCTTGGTAACATGTCAAAAGCCTTTTGTAAATCTAACGAGAGGGTTACTCCTCCTCGACAGCCTTCAACTGAGTGACCCTGTCTACGCAAGTGAATAGTTTGTTGCTGTGCACGAAGTATCTCCCTGACAGCACTACAATGCGTAAATGCTCGGTCCACCGCATCAGCTACACTGCGGTCCGCCGTGTAGGCGAATTGTGGCAGGGCTCCGAGGGTCTGCGTGAGCTGCGGCTGGATACGGGTGTTGAGGATAGAAGCTAGGGCCTTGGCTAGCGGAGGCAAGAGCGAGATGGGTCTTAGCGCCTCCGGGCCTACAAGTGGTTTGGAGGGCTTAGGTATGAGGCATATCTCCGCTGTGTGCAGATCCTCCGGGGGCGGCTGTCGCATGTCCCGAAGCCAGGCATTCAACTGCGGCAGGCACTTCTTTGCGAGCACGTCTGCAGAGGCGCGCCAAAGTAGGGCCGGAGCATCACGGCTCGGCAGAGCTTTGCCGGCCGGAAGTTTGGCAATCGCTACCTTGAGCTCGCCATGACTAATTTGAACCGGGTTCTCAGGCAGGGGGCCTAAGGGTGGTGCCGGCACCTTATTGAAGAGGTCATGATACTATGCACGTGTCACCTCCAGTGTGCCCTTCGCGAGGTCAGGGAAATTCCATCTTTGGCACGCAACTGCAGTTTGCGTCGTGGTGCCTTGGGCGCCAGTCCACGCAGAAGCTGAAAGACCCCAGTGAGGCCCGTCGGGGCCGAAGCTGCTTCAGACAGGAGTCTGTTGAGGCGTTCTTGTTTGAGACGACGACGTTGCCTATGAAGTTCCCTTTGTCTCTGTTGCAACTGCATGACAAGTCGCCATTGCCTCCAGACTCCTGCGACTGTGCGGAGGCTAGCTGGCGTGGTCGATCTTACCCGTCTACGCCCAAATGTTGCGAATAGACTCAGCAGTGGGGTCATCAGAGTGGCAGGGTAGTTGTGGCGGGCCTGAGAGTTGTGTGGCAGCAACTGCCTTCTTCCATGCCGTAGCCAGCAAATCCGAGGTAGGCAGGTGCGGTTGTGCCGAATGCTCCTGCGCAACCTGCTTCGAGAAAGCGGGGAGCAGGTCCGGCTTTTGCAGGCATGCGCTGCGCACTCTGCGCATGGTGAGTGCACTTGACGGTTTAGAGCTCCTAGGGGGCTTAGGGTGGGGGATGCTGCCTATCAGTGGTCTGTGCCGAAGACCCTGCGTAGGGACAAACGGCAGGTCTGCCGTTTTAACATTACGAGCCTCCGAGTCTGATTGGACATGCCTGGCAATGGCAAAATCTATTTGGCTATTGCCACGCGAGCCGGAGCCTGCAGAAAGGAAAGTGCTGACAGCTGGGCCTCCTCTCTTCCATGTGTTCAGTGCCACCAGCTGATGCTGTCTTAAAACAGATCCTGTAAGAAGTCCGCATCCAGGGCATGTTGCATTTGCCTCTGAAAGACGCCCTTGCCTACATGAATGCTGTCTGAATGAAGATCGGTGTTCATGTCAGCAAGTAGGAGAACCTGATTTCTTCTTGGGAAGGCTTGCAGGGTGGCCGAGAGGTGGCTCCAGAAACCAGAGCGTTTCTCTAGCAAGGTCTCCTTGTGGCCTGATCTGGCTGCGATGGTCTCAGTGCGGGAGCCTTGGGACCATGTATGTTGGTATCCCACTAGAACTTCGATGTGCGGTTCAGTTTCCAACCTGACATGTAGGAGCCTGCCTGGGATTATCTCTCTATGTTGGATCTTGGCCTCAGGGAAACTTTGCCGATTCACTAGTACAAGAAGACCAGCTTCGGACGTAGTGCAACCACTATTGATGGCAAAATGCTGCGTCGTAGAGTACTCTAGCGGTCCTCGCCAGTGTGTTTCCTGTATGGCTATCAGATCCAGCTGGCGCCCTTGCGGCTGTTGCAGCCATTGTTTGAGCTCTCGGTGGCGTGCAGAGTGCAGTCCGCCCGCATTCCACGACATGTAATGCAACCTGGCAGTAGATTTACGATGTTCCGCGGGGGGGGGTGGGTCCGTTGGGGCTGGGGCTGCTGTCGCTCTACGCCTAATTCCTGAGCTGTGCGCCAGCGTCCTTTATACCTGGCTGTGCCATGCAGACTTGCGCGCTTTTGCGCGCGTAAGTATGCACGCTTGCGCACCGGGCCTTCATTAGGAATTGGACTGTCGCCGATGGGGTTTGTTCTCAGGGTTGCTACTGAAGTACTGTGTGTGCGAAGTTCAGGAGGTTCCAGGTGTGGAGTGCCTCCAACCCTCGTGTCTGCAAGAGAAGGCATGGCTTGAACGGGCATAAGTAGTGCAAGGGTGATGAGCGCTTTAAGAGCAACATACATTAAACCCTGACTGAAGGCCTGTCTCTTGCCCCTGGACTTGGGACCAGGGCGGCCGCTTCTGTTTGGGGCCATGATGTGGGGGCTTTTGGGCTGCTGTGCGGGAAAAAGGGCTGCACGTTGCTGTACATGACAAAAGAAGCTATACAGCAGGCCTATATACATGCTCACTGTCTGAAGGAGTCGTTGCAGCCTGAGCTCAGTTGGGCGAGATGTGCTGCGAGGTCTGAGCCTACGACGGTGCCGTCTGGGAGCACTCGGCCGCAGCCGGACTCCTCTGAGATGTCTGCCAAAGTCGATCTTCTCGAGGAGATAGGCATCATCCCGACGAGCTTGCCGCAGCTGCAGCGGACTCATCTGGGTGCTCCAGGTGGGCTGCATTCCGAAACCACTGCTGAAAGTCGTGTCTGCCGCCTGCGTCCAGAAGCAGAAACATGACAAGCAGGGCCGAAGGGAGCAGGAGACCCTGCTCCTGTGTCCGGTCCACCAGCCAGTGCACCACCAAGTCCGCCGCATCGCGCGCCATGTGCTCCCGGAGGTGTCGACAGGCCATGTGCACAGCCTGATTGAGGCTGCTGTGTCGCGGCGGGGCTCCTGGTGCTCGAGCCAGGTTTGGTCGTTGCTGGGGACGCCTTGCATAAAAAGACCTCCGAGGAAGCCATAATCGCTGTGCAGCTGCTGAGAGAATTCTTCCTCTTCCAGCTGTGGCATGACCATGGCATATACATCTCCCGGAGTTGCGCCTCTGATACGACGGCGCTGCGTCGCCATCTGAGCTCGGGTGGTTCGGCGATCCGCACACTTGTAGTGGTGCTGTTTTGATAAGTAATGCAGACTGAGCTCCGTG